CATATATCTAGTTGCATATATTTAGGGTGTCACCTATATTGTTATAACCTCAAATAATAGTTGTTTATTTTTAACCAGTTACAAAGTAATCATTTAAAAGACTTTAAAACAGGTACAAATCCTAATTCCTTTTAGACTTAGTTTCCCCAAGTATGAAAGCCTAACAGATAAAAGAAAATTATATTGATAGATAAAAACAGATAAACATTTCAGACTTTTCTTCATATCAGTACATTAAAGTTCAAATAACTTTTACTGTGGTAATTATAGCCAATTTACTCACAGAACAAAACTTTTTGAGATTTACCTTACGCAAACCTTCTGCAACTTACTTAGACATCACAACTTTTTTACTACATCTGTAGTTTTGTCCCCTCTTTCATCTTGGATTTTACAAAAATATTACTTTACCAGACAAAATATGTTCTCATCCAGAAACATTTCTTTTATCTTCTGATTTTCCATACTGAAATATATTTCCATAACTATAACTTTCGTTTATTTTTTCTAGCCTTGGACCCTTTCTTAAATTCATATTCTGAAATAATGCTTATTAATGTTATCTGTGAATTAATTTACACAAATTTCATCCCAGGAGAGGGTTGGACAGTCCAGGATCAACCAATTCTAGGTTGCATGCAAGGGGTTGGAGCACAGGATATTTTTGAGCCTGACCTGTCTCCCTTATCATTATCACAATGCCAGTAACTGTGAGTTCCCCACTGTCAGTTGTGCCCAGAGGCTCCTTTGGGCCTTTTTCTTACATTAGATGTATTGATATGCAGGCTTTTTCCTTGAAGATCCCTTTGCAAAGGCTGCCAGCAAAACAGGGGTTGGCCTTTCTGTTTTTTTCTTTTCTGGGTGCAATAGTTTATTCTGTTAATTTCCCTATGCATTTAGTTTGATGGGATACTGTTATGGCAAGAATTGCTTTGCCCCAGTGATGGATCTTCTCTGGCTAAGTGGTGTGTCAGATCTTAAAAGGGGAAATGATTCCTATTCTCAGGTAATAAACTAACAGTGCTAGAATCTACTGCCACATCCTTTGTGGCCAGCAGCAACCCCCCCCCCCCCCCCGCCCCTCCTGCTCTTTGTCCATTTTTCTACAGCCCAGGCAGCTTTTCTGGGAGTTCCAGGAAGCAAAAGGAGCTTTGGCAGCTGCTGGGATGATCCCTCAGTCCCTCTCTTTACTCAAAGGAATAGCTCCTCTGGTTTGACCCAAGGCAAACTCAATTCATCTCCTAACTCTCCAGCAACTGGCTGTCAACAAGTTCTCCAGCCACCTTGCATCCTCAGCGTGGAAGTGGGGTTACTTGGAGAGTCACGCCTAATAAAGTAAGGTGGAGCAGGAGCTGCTCTGGGGTGCCAAATTTGTTACCGAAAGTCCAGTTCTTGTCCCTATGTCCGTCCAGTACAAGGACACGGTTTTGAGGAAAAGGAAAAAGAAGTTATGTTTTTTTACTAGCAGAAGAGAAACACAGGGACTCCTATCCAGAGGCTGAGATTCTCTGAAAGTATAATTTCAAAGCATGCACATCTTTATAAAATGTTTGATGTTTAGGTATTTTATTGTCTAATATAGAGAGCAAGTTTGATGCTGGGTAATGTATACTGGTAAGTCATATTCACTATGTTTAATTAGTGAGTTCACAGCCTACCAATAATCCATCCATGTTAATATTCCTCATGTTTTTCTTCTCTCTCACACTTGGCTCCCAATGTCATTCTGATTGCCCATTTAATTTAGGGAACTTTGCTATATCAGGCACCATATAAACTGAAATGTTACATTGTTGAATGTTTTACAAGCACTCAGAGTTTGTAAAATGTCTGTTTGCTGTTTGAAAAGGCAGTGCAACTACTCAGGCGTTAGGTTTGCTCATTATTCATGCAGTTTGGTATCAGCATCTTTTCCTAGCTCTCTGCATTTTAATGACGTTTTGATGCCCCACAGTTATTTGAGCTTGTGTTCCTAAACTAAATGGTAATATTTGGAAGGAAAAATCTTTACGGTTTTGCTTAGGATAGCTTGGTTTAGTCAGCTTTCTCGCTGCTGTGACTTAAAGACCCAATCAGCACAATTATAGAGGAAAAGTTTATTGGAGAGCTCGAAGTTTCAGAGGTTGACAGAGAGCTCCATTCCTCAGGGCTCAAGGTGAGTCAGTTCATCATGGCTGGAGAGTGTGACAGGGAAGCAGCTCATATCATGGTGATCAGGAAACAGAGAGACTTTACTTGCCAGATACAAGTATATACCCCAAAGCCAGTTCCCACCTAGTTCCCACCTCCTTTAGCCCACACCCTATCACCTCAATTACCACTCAGTTAATCCCAATCAGGGGATTAAATCACTGATTGGCTCAAGGCTCTCATAACCCAGTCATTTTTTCATTGTCTCACCTATGAGCTTTTGGGGGACACCACATCTAAACCCTAACATGGCTTCTGGTTCTTTATCTGCTGGTACTCTCCCTGTTCTTTAAATTAAAAATCAGAAAGTAACATGCTTTGAATTTGCACTTAATAGCATTATTTAATGTTCATAGTGTCCTTTTGAGTCTAACTTTCACAAGTTCTTTGATCTTTATCTTAGTAAAAATGAAGTTGTAACAAGAGGAGAGAAAGGTCAAATGGATAAAATAATGGGTCTTTGTTGTGAACTTAGTGTGTCCTTTTTAAAACTATGAAAAATCCGGAATGAAGTTGCAGTTTACTGTGGCCAGAAGTATCCTTCTTACTTATTTAATTGACATAATCAAGCCTTTGTATTAGTTTATCCATAGATGACAGCTAGAAAAAATAGGGGGAAAAGAGACATGGGGAATTGACTGGGTAACACAAGGTAAACAAATAACAAATCATTTAAAATTTTAATGTAGTTACCTGAATATGAAAGTAAGTTTCAGAAGTGACTACTTATGCCTGTGTAGTCACCAGCATTTTTGTTCAGTTAATTGCTCTTGGATTCAGTAGTGAATTTATGCCTATTTAAATCCCTAAAATACAGGCAATTCATAACCTTCTGAAAAGCTATGTGAAAAACTAAATAAAGAAAGTGAGAAGGTGGTTCCTCAGATAATAAGGTAATGGATATGAAAGGAGTTTGAAAAAGTGACAGCTCTTACTGTTCCACTGAAAAACTTCTTTAATTAATACCTGGGTCCTTCAAAGTCTTTCTACATCTATACATCTACTCTAACATTAGCTATCCAGTTCCTTCCTTCATTCTTTTTTTTAAAATATCTTTATTTATTTTTTTATGTGGTGCTGAGAATTGAACCCAGTGCCTCACACATACTAGGCAAGCACTCTACCACTGAGCCACAACCCCAGCCCCCTTCTTTCACTCTTATCCCTTGCTATTAGTAAGCCTCTTAGAATATTTCATTCCTTGTCATGAAGACAACCAGCATTGGCCCTGGAATCAGGTAGACTTGAACCTAAATCCTCCTTGGCAGTTTATAAACTTGTGAGTTTGGACAAGTATGTTAGTATTTCTGAATTTTGGTTCATCTATGTAAGATGGAATGAAATTTATCATCACATAAAGTTATAAAGATTAATAATAAGGATAAAATGCCAAGTCTGGTTCCTATTCTGTAAATGCTCAAATTTTGTGTTTCTTTTCCTTCCTTACCTAGCTATGGATTCCTTTTATAAGACAGAAAACTTATTAGCTCACTTACCTTTCTCATTACTGCGTCCCAGACAATATAATCAAGCTAGGAGACATTTTGTGTAGTATAGAGTCATCTTTCTGCCCATTGCTTTTTAAAGTTAATAGATTTTTAGTTTAAACAGTTTCTTATTTGATTGTAGCTGGTAGATTTTGACTTAAAATTCACACTCATTTGTGTATATATTCTTTTATTAATTATTGGGGGCAGGACATTCTGTTATCATTTTATCATGTTTACTAGGATGTCTATAAATATTTACTTTTGACATAATTAATAAAAACTTTTGTACTCTGGGAGCTCTAATTCTAAGGCCGGAGTTGGCTTGGCATTGAGCTTTTTAAATTAAAAGTTAACAAATTAAAGGCAATGTCATAAGGTACATTTTAAAAAATCAGTAAATGATTCAAAGGCATGTATTTTTCTTTTATTTGCATTTTTTAATTGTTTTTACAGAATTTTATATAAGTATAGTGAAAAGATAGTGACCATATTGTATTTCCCTTACAGTTAGGACAAACATTTTATACTTTGCTCTCTATCTTTATGATCTTATAAGAATGTTTCAGGATGTATGAAGCAGTTGCTCATTGAAAGGACTTTGGTTGTTTCTAATTTTATGTTTTTGTATGTGTATTGAACCTTTTTGTCTTATAGTTTTGCATTATCTTTAAAATAAATCTGAGGGATTGAGATTAATAGATGGATCAACTTAATAAAGTCTTCATTCTTCTCATCCTGTCATTGACTGTAGTGTCTGTTTGTTATTGGATGAAAATTCTTTTGAGATAGTTGCTTAAAATAACAGCTGTCTCAGTCCTTACTCCCAGAAGAATTGTTTTTTTGAATGTTGTATCTTTATCCTTCCATGACTTAAATAATTAATGCCATTAATTATTAAAATATCCCAATTGATAAGGTCATGTGTGACCTTTTTTTTTAAAAAAAACTCTATATTCTTATTTTAGAAAAAGGAGAATATAATGCAAAATGAAAAAAAATTATTTTGTTTGTAATTTGAAAGATGCACTAGAGAAGTATTTTTTTCATATACACTCGCTTGGAGATCTAATTTTATTTCTTATGGACTTTTCTGTTGTTATCTATAGCTTAAGGTAATAAAAGTAATTATAAAAATGAAATAGTTTCAGCATAAAGTTATTGATTTAATTAGTATATTTAATGTTTGCTAAGCGTTCTGTAGGATTGATGAATAGCTTTTGAGTTTTTCTGCATGTAATTATTTAAGTATATTCATTCATGTGTTCATGTAATTATCCTTATTTAAACATGTTTAATCTCTCTTCTTTGTCTTTTTTTCAGATTCTGTCAAACTTTAAGGACAAATGTACCTTATAGCTCATGGAAGAAAAAACACAAATCAAGACATTTTTGGGTTCCAAATTGCCAAAGTATGGAACAAAATCTGTAAGAAATACACAGCCAATGCCAAACGGGACAGCTGTTAATTTATTAGGAACTTCCAAGAGTAGTAATGTCAAAAGTTACATAAAAAATAATGGCTCTGATTGTTCATTGTCCCATTCATTTAATTGGAGAAAAACAAATAAGTACCAACTTACTGCACAAAATACTGAAGAGCCTAGCAGTTCTCAGAGTTCACTTGATAAATTAATTGATCCTGAAAAACATGCTTCCACTCAAGGAATGTTTGAAAAAAATGGGATAAAGGGAGGTTTGAAAAGTGTATCTTTATTCACATCAAAGTTGGCAAAGCCATCCACTATGTTCGTGTCATCCACAGAAGAGTTAAATCAAAAGTCTTTTTCTGGACCATCTAATTTGGGTAAATTCACCAAAGGTACATTATTAGGAAGGACTTCATATTCTGCAGTCAGTGCTCCAAAATCGCAATTAAATGGATTTTATGGAAACCGATCAACTGGTAGCATGCAAAGGCCTAGAGCAAATTCCTTTGCCACCAGAAGCAGTTCTGGAGAAAGCTTAGCACAGTCCCCAGACAATATTAAATCTATTACTTGTGAAAAAATGGTAAGGTCTCAGAGTTTTTCACATTCCATTCAGAATCCATTCCTTCCACCTTCATCTATAACAAGGTCACATTCCTTCAACAGAGCTGTTGATCTTACAAAGCCTTATCAGAACCAACAGTTACCTATCAGAATGCCACTACGATCAAATATGCTGACAAGAAATTCCCGACAATCAGAAGTACTCAATGGGAATGAACACTTGGGCTATGGATTTAATAGGCCTTATGCTGCTGGTGGAAAGAAGTTGGCTTTACCAAATGGTTCAGGTGTAACTTCCGCTTTGGGTTATAGGATGGTTCATCCCACTCTACTGAAATCTAGTCGACCTCCATTTTCTGGGACTATCGCAGTTGATAATAATAAAAATGCACCTGCTAACACTTGTGTAGAGGAAGAGGCTTCAGTTTTGGCTAAGGACAGTGTTACTAATAAGGACCAAGAGCTAATTGAAAATGAAAGTTATAGAACAGAAAACAACCAGACCATGAAGCATGATGCTAAAATTAGGTACCTGAGTGATGATGTGGATGATATTTCCTTGTCGTCTTTGTCATCTTCTGATAAGAATGATTTAAGTGAAGACTTTAGTGATGATTTTATAGATATAGAAGACTCTCATAGAACTAGAATAACTCCGGAGGAAATTTCTCTCAAAGAAAAGCATGAAAATTTACCATCAAAGGATATATTTGATTCTCCTAAGGAAAATGAAAAAACTTTCATTAAAACTGATGAATGGATCGATATAAGTGTCTCTGGTAAATATTATAATATCCTTAAATTATTTGCTTTTTAAAGATAATATAACTGATCTTACATTTAGGATTCTTTTCTTTTTTTATTAAATTATTTATTCTAATTTGTTATAAATGATGGCAGAATGCAATTCATTTCATATTACACATATAGAGCACAATTTTTCAAGTCACTGATGGTATACAAAGTATTTTCACACCATTTGGGTCTTCATACATGTACTTAGAGTAATGATGTCTAACTCATTCCATCATCATTTCTACCTCCTTGCCCCCTCCTTTTTCCTCTGTCCCCTTTGCCCTATCTAAAGTTCCTCCATTGAAGTTGAAGAATATAATGCTAGGTGAATCAAGCCAATCCCAAAAAACCAAAGGCCGAATGTTTTCTTTGATATGAGGATGTTGACTCATAATGGTGATGTGGGGGTGGAACATGGGAGGAATGGAGGATTATTTTCTGATATATGCCAAGTTACTAGCAATTTCATACAGTGATGGATCTAGATACAACTGGAGTAGGGCAACATTTATCTTCCTTGTGACTTTTGCTACCTATCCTGTTTTTTACCCTATCTAAAACAAAATCAGTAAAAGCACTCTTTGTTCTTCTTTGCCTGTCATACACAGGCATGTTCTTACTTAGCATAAGCAGTGCTTTCCAAAGGATTTTTTTTTTCTCACTTTCCCCAAGCATTAGTATACCATTAAACAAACTCTTTATTTAGGGTAACAGATCGTTGCTTTTTTTTTTTAAGAGTAAAGGTGTACCAAATGAGGACAAATGAAATAATACAAGTTATGTACAATCTGTTTTTTTTAAATGCTAGGAAATTTTCTTATTTAGCAATCTTTATAGTCATACCAGAAGAGCTTTATTTTGTTTTTTAATTGAAGAATGTGGGATAGCCTCTATTAAGCATTGCCTCTTATATTTGGGTATATTGGCACTAAATACTGGAGGAAAGTATTTCTGTGTGTTCATATGTCCTGAAAAAAGAACAAACAGAGGGAATTACAAAGGCATATGGGCTAAACAAGGGACTAAGTCATGCCTAGAGATGCACATAAACTCTTGGTCTCTTGTGGGTCTTACAGAAGACACTGCCAGAACAAGTTTTTTTTTCCTTATAAGGAAGCTGCTCTGAGGGTAAGTAATGTACACAAAGGAAGGGAGTTTCCTGGCCAGTGGTTAAAAGTAAATATCTTAGGAAATATTAAAGGAATATGAACATGTAAGAAATGTTGCAGAAGTAAAAGGCGGTTAAATTAATTTTTTTTGTTTATTAGAAAATATTTCAGTAGGTTATTTTTAAGACTGTCTCTTTTATTTATAATTTAGCAATTGCAAAATGATAGTAATATAGTTTTTACCTACTTTTTTGCTATTATATATTAAATTCTTAGAACTTATATTTTTAGAGCATGAGAATAATTTTATTTTTGTGAATTAGTAACTTTTTCTCTCTCTTTTTAAATCAATTGAAGACAGGAGTGAATGTACAAAACATCCTTCTGGAACTAATTTGATTTCACCAGATACGGATTATAGAGCTGGTTCTTCATTTGAACTTTCTCCATCTGATAGCTCTGATGGAACATACATGTGGGATGAAGAGGGCTTGGAACCCATTGGAAATGTCCATCCAGTTGGCAGCTACGATTCTTCTGAAATGAATAGCATTGTATGTATGGATTTATATGCCCTTTTAGAATCTTTATTTACTTACTGTAGTGAGACTTATGACACTGACTTTTTTATTTTTAGTTTACAAATTCCTTTTTCTAGTTTGTGAGACATGGGAAGTCATCAGTTAAAGTATGAAGAGTATATGACATTTGACTTAAATGTACTTATATATGAACATATTCATCATACATAAATATGTACATACTATATTGGTCAAGCTAATCTAGACCATAGGTTCTCATGGAGGTAGAAGAAGGCAATAGTTTGTCCCATTTGGTGAGTGGAGGCCAGAAATGCTGCTTCACATCCTACAGTGTGCAGGAAAGAATTATCCAGCCTAAGACAGCAGTAATGCTGCTGTTGAAAAACCCTGGGTTAGGCTGTTCTGAGGTACTATTCAAGTACCACCTCTGAGTGGCTTAATACAATAAAAGTTTTAGTTTTTATTCTTAGAAAATGTATTGTAGTTCTGAGCAGCTCGCTAAGCAGCTGTCTTTAGTGATTTCAGCTGTTTTGAACTTGGGGCCCATCTTTTGAGGCTCTTTCTTGTGGCAGAGGGAAGGAGTGCTAGAAAGTCTTAACTCATTTTTATTTGCTTTGTCCTGCAAGTGGTACTTGGCATTTTCACTCACAATCTATTGACCAGAACTGATTATATGGCCCCACAAAACTACTGAGAAGATAGGAAGTGTAGTTTTCCTATATGTCTGGAAGACAAGAGAACTAGGTATGGGTGAGTATTAGAAGACATACCATGTAATTATATATATATATATATATATATATTTTTTTTTTTTTTTTTTCAGAAACATTGTAAGTAATATGGAAAATATGCCATATGAATAAAGTGTACCTGGAGTGTTTAAAATAATTAACTGTAATTATTCAGCATATAAAATATGATTTTTCCAGAAAATCAAGTGGGTAGTCTTTGTGGCTATATTATATTACAAATGGATTTTAAACAATATGATTTTCTATACTCATATAAGCCTGTGATGTGGAACAAAAAAGACATTATTACCAGAGACTTTTTAGGTTGCACAAACAGAGAGGATATGCATTTAATTTAGAAAGAGTATCTTCATCTTTTTAGAGAAAGGTTGTAAATAAAGGTTACACTCCAGGGCCTTTTGTTCTTTTTATAATAGGATTTTTTAAAAGAATAATTGATGTAGAGATGAACATTGTGTCCAGAAGATGGCAGCAATAAGCTACTTATTACCTAGTATTTTCAGAGCAACCCAGCTCATTGTTCCTGTAACAAATGATAAAGTAGCCTTCTCTGAAACAGTTCAATTTGAGAATTAGTTCTTTAGATGCATGGATTTTCTCACTGATCAGTAGGCTTGTGTGTGATGGAATGGGAACAAACAAAAGTGTTCATTCTGTGTTTTGGAACAAGAAGTCACCTGTGTCTTCTCATTTAAGGCAGAAGACAAGTCTGAGAAAGGATGGAGAATGAATAGAAAAGTTGGGAAGTGTGTTGTTCATAATTTTTGCTCAGAAGTTCTCTCAGGTTTTTGCTTTGAGTATCCTGTTTATTTTGTTAGATGTGTACCTATTTAGAATTTTTTTTTGGTGAATTATTCTTTCAGTTATTTAGTCTTATATCTTCTCTTTCCTTGTTAATGCACTTTATCATAAGATCTTTTTTCCCTCTTAGATATTAGTATACTTTACCGCTTTTACTTATGTATTTTCCTTCCTTTTAGAATCAGCCTTTTTGATACATGGAAAATACTTTATTATTATTATTATTATTATTATTAGTAGTAGTAGTAGTAGTACTTGGAATTGAACCTGGGGGTGCTTTAATAACTGAGCTACATCCTCAAGTCCCCCTCTTATTTTTGAGACAGGATCTTGTTAAGTTGTTCAGGCCAACCTCAAACTTGCAATTTTCTTGCCTTAGCCTCTTGAGTAGTAGGGATTATAGACATGTGTCAATGTGCCTGGCAATAATAATAATGTATTATTTTAAAAAATTCAGTTTGTCCTTTTAATTAGTAAGCTTAGTCATTTGTGTTTGCATTTATTGATGTTTTGGGACTAGATTCTACCATCTTAATATTTTTTACTTAAAGAGTATTTTTTCATTTTTTTTAAAGTAGTTCAAATTAATACCTCTAACTAACATGTTCTCACTTTTCTCAGCCTGTACAATAATGTTTATTTCCAGGCCAGGTCAAGATAAGTTAATGAGTTAATGTATAGTACAGCTTATTTTATACTGTTGTTGAAGGCATTTAGTTAGGCTGCTTCCAGTTTTTGGCTATTAGTGAATTGCACTATTGTGCATATTTTATTGTATTTTTTATGAACATTTATTTATTTGTGTTGGTAAAATATGTAGGAGAGGAATCTTTTGGCTATAGGGTATACTTATATATTATGTACACTTACATAGGTGTTGTAAACTTTACAAAGTGATAGTACCTGTTTACAACTCCTACAGCAGTAAATGAATATTCTGGAAATTCTACTTTCTTGTCTGCATCTTTTTGTATGTTTAATATTCTGGTGGGGATATAGTAGAGTAGTGCATTGAGATTTTGTCTTTTATATTTAATGGTAAGTACCCACTGAACACTTTCACATATATTTATTGGTCCTTAGGCTATCCTCTTGTGAAGTGCCTTGTATTGGGTTATATTTTTTCTTATTAGATTGTAAAAAAAATTATATATATTTTGGATATAAATCTTATGTATATGTAAGTACATAATATATGTATGTAAAATATGTTTTGCATATATTTTCTACTCTGTAGATTGACTTTCAGATCTAATAGTGTCTTTTGATAATAAAACTCACCAATTTTAATATTGTCCAATATATATTTCTTTTCTTAATTATTGCCATGGTTTTGAACTGTTGTGAAATCTTTGTCTACCCTAAAGTTATGAAGGTATGTACTAACAAAGACTTTGCTTATTGATTTATATTTAACTTTTGACACTTAGGTCTATAATCTGGAAATTATTTTTGTGTGAGGTCAAGATGAATTAATTTATTTTTTTGGTACTGGGGATTGAACTCAGGGGTACTTTATCACTGAACTATATCCCAGAACTTTTTTGTTTTTTATTTTAAGAAAGGGTCTTGTTAATTTGCCAGGGCTGGCCATAAACTTGAAGTCTTCCTGCCTCAGACTCCTGAGTCACTGGCATTATAGGTGGTGTGCTATCATACCCAGCAGTTTTATTTTTTAAAAAGCTCTTTTCCCTATTCTACTACAGGCTCATCTTTGTCATAAAATTAGTGACTATGTACATAAATATTTCTTGACTCTTTTAGTTCATCTATCTCTTTGTCTAGCCTTGTGTCTGTACCACCTTCTTTTAATTATTGTAGCTTTAAATGTTTTGATATCTGGTAGTATAAATCTTTCATCTTTTTTGTTTTCTACTATTTCCCTATGTCTTGTTAGCCTTGCATATTTCCATTTAAATATTGGAACAAACTTGTCAATTTCTGTAGAAGACCTGGAAGGATTTTGAATACATTAAATTTATAGGTCATTTTGGAGAGACTTGATAAATTTATGATGGTTTTCCAGTTCTTATAGTATATTCCACCATTTATTTGGAATTTAGAAAAATTTCTTGCTAATATTTTGTACTTTTCTGTAAATGTTATATATATATATATATATATATATATATATATATATATATATATATATGATTTAATTTTAAGTCTTTGCTACTATGAATGACACTACTTTTAAAATTTTATTTTCAAAGTTTTTATTGTTGTAAATATTACAGATATGCTTTATGTTTGCCTGTTGACCTATTTTTTTTTTAAGAATTCTGGTAAATCTATTCTCTTATGGTATCTAATAATTTGCCCATGGATAGTTTAAGAATTTCTATATATATACTGTACAATCATAGCATTTGCAATATTGTCTCTGACCTCCCAATTTCAGGGGGAACATTTTGATAGTTTACTATTAAAGCTGTGGGGGGGGGGGCACAAGGAAAGAAAATATTATCAGGTTGTGAAAGTTTCTTTCTTTCTTTCTTTCTTTTTTTGAGATAGGTTCTTGCTATGTTGCCCAGGTTGGTCTTGAACCCTCAGTTTCAAGTGATCCTCTCACCTTAGCCTCCTGAGTAATTGGGACTATAGGTGCATATGCCAGTGCCCAGATTGGAAATTCTCTTTTGTTTGTTGAATTTTTATTATGAGTGTATTAATGTTTACCAAATGCCTTCTTTACATCCATTAGAGATAATTAAATCATTTTAGCTGTTAGTGTGGTGGATTGCATTGTTTTCAGATATTAAACTACCTTTGCTTACATTCACTTGGTTGTGATATATTATCCTTTAAATTATTGTTAGTATTGATTTGCTAATATTTAATTTTTGTGTGTGTGTGTGTGTTCATAAGCAACATTGTTTTGCCTTGTAATTTTCTTCTTTTTTCTGTCATTTGATATCAAGGTACATGTTAACTTTATTAGGAGTTAAGTTATTTCCTATTTTTCTGCCTACTGAGTTTGTATATAATTGATATTAACATTTTCATTCAGTATTTAAAAGAATTCATCAGAATTCAACCTTTTGGACCTGCAATTTTCTTTGTGAGGTTTTTAAAAATAGATATTGGCCCACTCAGACTTACGTGTGTGTTTTTTCTTACGTTGCTTTCTAGAATTTGTCCGTTTCATCTAGGGTATAATTTGTTTTAAAGTGATGTATAGTATTTCATTCCTAATACTGGTAAGTAGCATTTCCTCTTGTTTTCTTCATTTTAAAGAACCAAATTTGGGCTTTGCTGATTTTTGCTTGTTTTCTGTTTTATAGATTTGGTTTCACAACTTTATTTCCTTCCTTCAGTTTTCTTTAATTTGTTTTTTCCTTTCTAAAATTCATGATATGGAAACTAATTTATTGATTTTAGCCTTTTCTCCACCTCTAATGTAGGCATGGATTCTCTTAAGGAGAAGGCTTTATTATATAGTATACAATACATTCAGTAAAC